GAGTGAAGGTTTTTATGACTCTACTCTCTTGTGCTTTTGACTCCATGAAGCGGCCATGAATTTTCTTAAACTCTTTTGGCCTCTCCTTACCTGCCTTGAGTGGCATTTTTTCTTCCTTACTAACATTCTCTGTCTATGCTCTAGTCATCTATGTTTTTCTGTTGTGGAGCCTCTCTCTAAGGATCTGAGATGATGTTCTGGTCTTGCCTCCATTCTCTGGGTAAGCTCTCTGGCCCAATCAGAGGTACCTGGGGTTTCTAGTTTCCAAACCCCATACACTGTCCTCCCTACTGTGAGCAAGTTTGTGACTTAGAGCAAGACACTTGGGTGGTTCTTGGAATTAAGCACATCCTAGAAATGTCTGAAAGAACAAATTGTCCCTAATGAAGTCTGGAGGTGGGCTCTCCCCACAATGTTCTGGGGAGGATAGCACACCACCCCTTAACCTCACCCCAGTGGGCTTGTTCTCTGGCTGAGAAGAATAAGGACATCCCCTTAGTGAAATTAGGCTCCAGCATGACCTGGGGTGGGGGTAGAAGGAGTATGCTGGATCTGCTTGTCTCTTTGCTCTGACACAAAGTTCTCTTCTGACTCTTAACCCTTTTTCTCTGTTTGGCAGCTGGAGTTGTCTCATGTAGACCAAGATGTCCGAACCCATGCCAGTGTTTTTTGGGTCGTGGACTTTAAATCAGGCTTCAAGCAGAGTAACAGAATCAAGTATGAGACCATTATCTTATAAACAACCCACTCCCTGTTTCGACTATTCACATTGTGCATTTGCCATCTTATCTGTCAGCTATTTTCAATTCTCTCATTCCAGGTGTGGACACCATGTCTCCACTCCTACTGGGGTCTGCTCTTCTCCTCAGCAGCAGTGCTAGACACTGTACACTAATTCCTATTCTGCCTTATACCATCCAAACCAAAAAACCAAATCCTCTGTCATTGAGTCGAATCCAATTCATGGTGACCCCATGTGTTACAGGGTAGAAATGAATTCCACAGGGTTTTCTTGGCTGTAATCTTTATGGAAGCAGATCACCAGACCTTTTTTCTGTGGTACTGCTGGTGGATTCGAACCACCAGTCTTTTGGTTAGCAGCCAAGTACTAACTGTGCCTTCCAGGGACCTATTATACCATCAAACACTGCTAATTGTCTGTTTGCGGTTGGGTGCAACTTGGTAGTAAGTCTACTTTGAGATAAGTACTAAGAGGGTAATGGGACTTTTATGTCCCTAGGAAGCCTCTGCAGACAGGCATTGTGAATTCTGAAGGGGCAGGGGTGGCCTATGAGCAAATTTCAAATAGTACCAGTAATAACTCCCTTTGGTTTACTCTAGGTTCTCCTCTTCCTGTGGTTCCATGCTGAGACACAACTGGAGGAGGCCACGAAGAGCTGTCTGTGTTCACCTTTCCTGACACAACAAACCTCTGGGAAACTCCACTGCCAAAATTCTCTCTACACTTTACTGACATCTGGCCTGACAGCCTTGTCCCTCTCTCCTGCAATTTAATGTTGTGACCTCCCTCTCATTATCAGGCCCCTGCTTGTTGGGGTGGCTTGAACTGGTCATATTTCTTTCTCTGAGTTTCCAAATTTCATGTCAGGCTCTCAAGCACATGTCTCAAAGTAAGGTGTTTGAAGCAACTCAAAATTCAGAGATTTTGCCTCATTCACTAGATTTCTTGGCCCCAGTGTGTCTTCCACTCTAGGAAATGGGATAGCAAGTATGTGGTCAGGCCCCCATGACTTCATCATGGAATTGCAAGGTTTGCAAGCACTGGGTCTGGCTCTGCAGTCCAGCTCACTTAAGAGAAAGGTCTTTCTGTAAGACTCAATAATAGTGAGGCCTGTGCCCTACACAAAAGGTATACCTTTTTTTCACTGATCTTGAAAATAGGTCAATTGAAATTAACCAGTTGAGGTGCAGAAAGAAAAAAAGAATGAAGAAAAAATGAACAGAGTCTAAGAAACTGTGGGACTTTTGAGATGATTATATTTAGATGAGATCTTGAGCTTAGAGTTGATTCTGGAATGGGTTATGACCTTTGGGGATGCTGGGATGAGGTGCATGCATTTTGCATGTGGGAAGACAGGAATCAGTGGGTGCCAGAGGCAGGACTATTATGGGTTGAATTGCATCCCCCAAAAAGATATGTTAAAGTCCTAGCCCCCAGTACCTGTGATGTGTGAGGATTCCAATTTCTCCACATCCTTGCCAACACTTATTGTTCTGTTTATCTGTTTGTTATTTTAAACAGCCATTTGTATTAGTTTCCTAGGGCTGGCTTAAAACATCCACATTGAAGCTCTGCTTCAACCCAGGCTGCCTAGCTTTGATCTCTCTTAGTCATGACCTTCTGGAAATATTTTGTTCTGTGAAAAATGATTATACAGCATTTAAACAAATCATTGATTTATTCCAATATACAATTTTATAGATGAAGAAAAAAGGCCCAGAAAGTGAAATGATTGCCCCTTACTCACTCAGCCAGAGAAGAGAAACAAAACACAGATTCTTACTCCCAATCAGAGCTTCTTATCTCACACTTTACTAAAATTAGAAAAGTACATTGGTGCCAAATTGCAGAGAATTAAATAAAATAATATGTGTAGAGCACTTAGAGAGTGCCTGGCACATATATGCTCATTAATGTTAGCTGTTATTATAATATGTGCTTGCATCTGCATAGAGTATCTCTGAAAGGATACACAAAAAGTGGGTTAGTTTCCTCTGGGTAGAGGAAATGGAGACACATGGGTGGGAGAGAGATTGACTTTTCACTGTATTTTTTTTAACCATGTGCACTGTACTACCAATTTAATATACATATGTATATAATATATATATGTGTGTGTACGTGAGATGTAAAAGATATATGCATTTTTATATATTTATTTATTTATCAAAAAATCCCCAAACTGTGGGCAGGATTGAATGAAGCTTTCTTTCCTTATTTGGGATCAGGATTCCTGTCTCTTCCATATGGAAGAACAAGAGAATCAATCTGAAATTCCTAAGAAATTGATCAGACTAGATTTTAATTATAAAGTACAAAGCAAAGTTCCATTTCAGCCCCAATGTCTATATTCACCAACTACCCAGTCCTTCCCACAGGAATCCTATCAGAGCACATTTGTCTCTAAGATAATCAAGCTTCTAAAATTAAGATGTTTTTTAAATGCGTTAATATTTGCAAATCAGACTAGAAAATCCAACTAGGCAAGCCTCATTGCCTATTTATTAAATACATCACTTTCACCACCTATAGTCTCTTTCCTGAGCTCTCTAGACACAAGATTAGAATCCCTGAGTGATTCATTCCCCAGTTTTTGTGTGCCTCACTTCCAGCCAAAGTAAAAGTATAATTCGGTTCACCTTGCTATGTCACCCATCTGGGATCTACCCCTCTAAAAAGGGAAATCAATTAGGAGGTTACTCTGAAACTAATAGAACTCAAATGCTCTATCTGATATTTCTCTTGGGTTAAGTATGTTATACTCAGCATCTTCCACCCCCTGAAATGGTGAGGAAAATTTTTTCATCCAGTTACGATAGCCCATAATTAATTTCTATTTCACCCTGTCTATTCCAAACAAGTGGAGCCCTGATGGCACAGCGGTTAAGAGCTCGGCTGCAGTTCTAATCCACCAGCCGCTCCTTGGAAACCCTATGGGGCAGTTCT